GCAAACCACTCCAGCTTGCCTTCTTTCCCCCAACGCAGAAGCATGGACTTCGTTCTATGTCATGGGTTATTCTACGTGAGCGCCTAGTGCAAGAGGGGCTTGCTGCTCAAGGAGCATAAAACTTCTGTGCATGCAAGTTATTTGTGCAACTAATCATGGGATGGAGGAAGGGTCAGTCTGTCCAGTGAGAAAGGCTGGGCACCAGGAGTTTGGACCATTGTATCCCATGGAGCTGAGCTCTGATATGAAATGGAGGCAGGTTGCAGAACAGTTCTAATAATTCGAAGGTAAGTGTTCATTTTCCTTACAATTACTGTTTAATTATACATGGCTGTGCACAGAGGCAGAAACAGGTGGTGCCATGATAACCAAAGCAACTGTGGATGTGCTTGTGCTTCACTAGAACATGGAAGAGCACTGGGGCTACTCAAAATCAAGTCTTACTAGCTCACAGAATACACAATTATCACAAATCAGCTGACACTGTAATACGTTGCCTTAAGATAGTTTGCTTCAGCTGAATGATCCAAATCACACTACTTCATGCAAAAGACGTTCTGGTATTTCTTTCATGTCCAAGGTGCAGCTTCAGAAGGAATATGGAAAGCTTAATGTGCAGTTTGCATGGCAGAGCTGTAACCATCTATGCTAGGAAACATGGTATGCCCCTGAAAAAGGTATCTGGTCCAAAGTCCAAGTGCAAAACTGTGTAAAGAATGGCTGCCACATACAGGCCAAATTTTCTCCAAACAGATTTGATGAGATGGTACTTCAAAAAAAAAAAAAAGCACCAAAAAACCCAACTGACCAAAAAAATCCCCAAGCAATTATTGTCAAAGATGCAGTGAGTCCACAGTGTTAATGTGGACTAGTATTTGTACACTTGCCCCGACAACATTTGAACAGCATAAAGAAAAAACTTCACTTAAGTAATGCCAGTCTTGCTACAAAAAAACCATCTGCAATGCCTAGATCCATATTTCAAATACAACTGACAAGTATTTATTCAATAGTAATTTCATACTATGTTTTCAACAAACAAATGTTAGTGTTTTCCTTCTGAATTTTCAATCTTCTGGCAAAGCAGCCCCTTGTGACTTGGCTGCACATCTGTATTGAGCATGCAAAGAAAATTCTTACTTTTCTTATACACAAGCCATTAAGACCGGGGAAAAAAGTGTGTCCTTGGTATCTTTCTCCTCTATAGAGATGGGGGGGGGGGGGGGAAGAGAGAGAGGGAGAGAGATTTTT